GCTGATGCGAAACACACGAATGTATTTTATCACACACCTTGGGACTCACTTCATGATTCTTGCATTCCAGATCTGACGGAGCACCGAGCAGGAATAGCCTCTTCCTGGCCTCTCTTCCTTTCAAACACGTCGCTACTAGCATGATGGCAGCGTCGATCGTGGAAGACAGGTGACGCGGCGCTGGCGCCGCACACATGGTCCGGAGGGCTAAGTGGTGTCAACCACCTTCGTCGATCAAGATCGTGGTCGGAGGTCGGCGCCAAATGACACACACCGCGGATTGGTCAATTCCACTATGAATCCAGCGAATCAACGAGCGGCTCCAAAACCTGTGAAAATAAATATATTCGAATCGGGTCGGGACAGCGCGCGGTTACCCACGCCACGTCCAACGAACTCTCTCAATCGTAATGAGTCTTGGTCGTAGTACCAAGAGACGTCCTGGTTTGGTTGCGCACTGTCCGTGGCGCGCGAGCGCGGTGGCGTTGCCTCGAAGGGCACTTCCGAAGTTCAAAAGAAGTTGAATTTGAGATGTGTAGGTCTATCGAAGTATCGAATCGAAGTTTGGAATCTATAAAGTTTCGCCGACTTTGCCTGAAAATAGTGGTGGAGACAAAAAGTCACTTGCTCCATGTTGCGCCGTGTCCTCGCCAAGACTGCCGCCCGCAGCTTCGGGTCCCACGCGCCCAAGCACGTGCCCGAGCAGTTCGTGCGCGACCACCTCGTGGCCGTGACCTTGCTCGACTACGAGGGCAGCCGCCACATCATCCAGGGCCGCGTCGGCCAGACGCTCTTTGAGGCGTGCCAGTTGTCGGGCCTCGACATCGTCAAGGACGACTCGCTAGGCGGCGGTGGCTCCGCGTACAGCGCGGTGCGGACGCCCGAGTTCACTGAGAGCCTCTTTGGCGAAGGCCCGTCGTCGCCCTTGTCGCACGTCGTGGTCTCGAACGAGTGGGTGCACAAGCTGCCGGCGCCGACCGAGCGCGAAGCGCGCATCCTTGAGGACGTGCCGGAAGAGGACCTGACCAAGAACTCGCGCCTTGGCACGGAAATCATCTTGACCAAGGACTTGGACGGCCTCGTCGTCGCCGTGCCTGAGGCGCCGCCGGTCGAGACCTTTACGTACTTGAACGACTGGGAGGAGCCGCAGCCCGAAGCGTACACCATGTTCCCCAAGTCCATCCGTGGCGATTAGATATGAATCGAATACAATATGGCCGCGTGGTATTGCCGTTGGATGCAGTTGAACCTCACGAACACAGATGCGAGATGGCATGCTGCACAGTATTAGCCAAGACCCACGCAATAGCAGCGTAACTCGAATGCATGGTCGTACCTTGGCCTACAGAAGGTGGGCCGTCGACCACAGCCACGCATCGTCAAAGGCAGAAGCACCTCGTCGATCGCCGAATCTTCGATCTTGAAACCTTCGACCGTGCTTTGCCGTTTCGGTGGTTTCTGCCGCAGCGCCTTTCCACACGCCGACCCACTGTCATGTTCGCGCCAAGTCTCGTCGACTACTTCCTCGAGGTCGTCATTGCCGGTGCGAATGCGTCGTCGTCATTCCCACAACTCGACTTGTCCATGGTTCGTAGACCCCGTTGGCACGCCCGTGCGCTCGATCGCCCACCGGGTACCTGCGCTCGATCGACCGGGGTTCCCGCTGCCCGACGGTGTCCGCTACGTCTGTGCCTCGACCTTGCACCTCGGCACTCTCATGGACGCGAGTAGTTTTGCCTCCCCGACAAGATCGACCTCCGCGACCGCGCGCTGTACGAGAAGACACCCAAGTTCCACGCCTTCACGCTCACGGGTGGTGACGGGTCGCGCGCCTACGGCTTTGCGCTCACCACGTACTCGCACGCATGTGACGCCACGCTGTGTCTACCGCGCGTCTTCTGCTTCATCTCCCATTTTGCGCTTTTCGGGCTCTTCAAAGAAGCCTTGGGGTACGCTCCGTGCGTTCGCGGCAGGAGTTCAGGGTGCAGTAGATGGATCTACCACGCGCAGGCTACCGAGGAAGCCAACCCCGACGACGTGTGGCTCGCGTCTCCCCGTGCCGGAGCCCTTGCCTTCCTCGAAGCCAATCCCGCCAACAACAACCACAGCAGCCACGACGACACACCGGCATGCAGTTTTGGCAGACGTCGACGTGGTAGCTGAATATATGTAGGCAACGTCGTGGCGCGACGCGATCGTCGACTTGGTGCGTCGGGCGCCGGCGCCCGTCGTTGGCGCGACGACCGAGTTTTACATCCACGGGCAACTGCTGTTTCAGCAGACGCTGCACACGAGCGGCCTCGGCTATGTCGACGATGCGTGTTATCAGCTCCTCTTCCAGCACCTCAGCATCAAGAACATCATCTTCATCTTGAACTGCATGCTCTTGGAGCAGCGCATCTTGATCCATTCGTCGGTATGGCTTTCATCTTTTTCCAAAGACCCAAGCGAACCTTCGGAATGTGTAGCACCACGGACTGCTCACGCCCGTGTGCGAAGCGCTCTGCGCGCTGCTGTACCCATTTGCGTGGGAGCACGTGTACATTCCTCTCCTGCCGATGAAGCTCATTGAATATTTGCAGGTCGACTCGATCGTCGAATGTCATTTGAACGTTTAGTGTGTAGGCGCCGGTACCCTTTTTCATGGGCGTGCACACGAGCTACCTCACGACCAAGAGCGGCGCCGACGTCTTTGCCTCGTGCGTCGTGATCCACCTCGATAAGGACAAGGTCGTGCGCCCCATCCACGGCAGCCACGGGCTCCAAAGTGCATTGGACCACCCCGTGGCCAAGTTTCCGCCGACTGCCGTCTCCTTACTCCAGTGCAAAGTGCAAGCCATTCTCGACTTGCACCAGCCAATTGCGAGCGCCCCCACAGGTTCAATGGTCCGTTGCATTTGGGTCTTGACAATGCGTCGTGTAGCCGACGCCAACCGCGTTCGCTCCCGCCGCAACGCTCGCACGTCCGATGTGCTTCGCATCGACGATGCGTCGTCCGAGGTCGACGTGACCTTTGGCCCCGGACCTGTACGCCTCAAGGCGACATTCTACGAGTACTGATGCGTCGGAGTTAGCTCGGCATCACGTTCGAGCCGACCCACGTGCGACTGCTGGCGACTGGCGCCGACGTCGCGCACCCGACATCGGCCGTCGTCAAGGCCTTCCCACAGCTCCAGAATGGTCTCCCGGGGCCGGCTGCGCTCTCGGGCGTTCTGCACATCGGGAGCTTCCTCCTCAGTGTCAACGGCGTCTCGACGCTCTCGCTCTCATTCGAGGCGACGTGCGATCTTCTTCGGACGCAGCCACGACCACTGCGCCTTCGCTTTCAAAATGCACCTCGTCCGTTTCCGAACGCCTGTCGGTTTGCTGCTCGCGTGCAAACCTCGGCCTTTCTGTCTGTGGCGCCAGTGCCAAAGGTGGTGCCGGCAACGACGACGCCGATCACGCCGTGGGTCGACCCCGTGCGCGTCGCGTTTGCAGGGTTTTTTGTTGACCTTTTCCGCGGGTATGCGCAGTACATTGTTGTGACGCCGACGCCGGCGCCGCAACTGGCAGCCCCGCGGTCGCCACAGCACAGTCGGCGCAACAGTCGCCAGCGCCAGGCGGCCGTTGCGATCACTTTTGATGCCGACGCCTTTCTTGGTCAACTGTACGCGACGACGACGACCTTCTATCGCGCCTTCTTCGAGACGCAGGCGTTCCAGGCCTTGATCAACGACACGGCCCTTGGGAGCCTGGAGCAGGACGACGGTGTACCGGCGCCTGCGCTCGACCTCTTCTTGACCTGCTGCGCCGACGACGTCTCGTCGCTTCGGGCGTGCCTGGGTCGTGATGTGTCGGCTCTGACGCGTATAATCACGTGGCAGTTTCCGGCACCAGTGGCAACAACGAATGCCCGTCGCAAGGTTGTGATGGCCATCGATGTCGACCACACCACCGACGACATTCGGGGTGTGGATCTCTTGGTGGAGACAGCGCCGGCGAAGCGAGCCTCGGCCACCCGGCAGCTGGAAATGATGATCTGCGGTGCCATCGAGCGTCCCGAGGTAGGTGTTTCCGGCAACAGCGCAAAGACATCGCCGCGTTGTAGCTCGACGGGCCCCCGAGTGTGCAGCGACGCCGTCGGTCCATGAATGCAAGCTCGATGGCGGACCTCGACAATGAACTCGCGAGCGGCGCAAGAAGCAATCAGGTCGAGACCGGCCTCCCGTCGTTGCCGCTTCGGAACAAGCTCGCTGTGTACGTGGCCAATGACGAGCGACTGAAAAGTGGATCTCGCCGACTTTTGCGTAGGCTGTCCAAGAGCTTGCTCCAGCGAAAGACCAAAACCCTCGCGTAGTAGCGCTTTATGCATTCGATTTCATAGTTGGTCTTTGTTGCGCCGGGCTCGCAGCTCGTTAGCGACGCACGCTCGCTTTGGCCGGGCAAGTCCCTTTGACGATTGTGTTCCGCGGAATGGAGGAGCAATACTGAAACTCATTTCTCAACGCACCAGAGTTCTGCAGCGCCGAAGAAGGAAGGATCGTCGCAATGGCCCTAGTAGGTATGGAGGCGCATAGCATCGACCAAGAAAAGACAGCGCCTCGGCCAAGGGCGATCTGGCGCGCAAGCAAACTTGAGCAGTCGGCAAACCCACGCTGGAATCGGCCAAGCGGTACCGCCGATCTGGCGCAAGCAAACTTGAGCGGTCGGCAAACCCACACTGGAATCTTCCATCGCTTCATTCAAGCGCGAAACGTCATCTCGTCGAACCGCGGCCTTGGCCATGCCGCAAGCCTTCCTCGTGTATCTTGTGGTGCTTCTTAGGGTCATGGCGCTCGTGGAAGCGCGCGCGGAAGAGTGCGATGCCTTGGATGGCAGCGACGACTGGCCCACGACCGGCTCATTCTCTACTTTCACAAACAGCTCTTGTCGTACAGCCTCCAGCTGACCCAAATCGCACGTTGAGCGCCACCGAATGCGCAGCGCTCGGGTTCGAGTACAGAGGCGTCCTGGAAGCGTCGGTGGGCGCTTTCCCAGCCTCCAAGTACCTCGATCCGCGCAGCTCCCCGCCAAACGACCCTCGCACAACGTGTTCTTCACCGCGTCAATCGTCACGTACAGGGCTCTTCTCTACCAGTGATCGAAAGCATCTCGCTGACGCGATACCGCCCAGGCCAGCGCTACGACTAGCACGTCGACGCATACAGCGTCACCACCGGCTGCTCCATGCCTCGCCTTGCCAGCAGCAAAGGCAGACGTACCGCGCTATTTCAAGCAAGCACCGAAAGGTCTACGCGGTGCGTGGACAAGCAGCAGACCTTGCGCCGTCTTTCGCCGACATGACTTGTAGGAGAATGTCCACCGGTCGTGGCAAAGCGCCCGTTGGATTCGATTTCTGTATGCGGATGTCTGTGAGCTGGCAGGCTGATGCCTCATTATTATCCGAACAAACTCCAACGGCGAGATGGCAAGCGACATATGCAACGGCGTGGGGTTTTCGAGCGTCCCAAGACCAAGCCGCGCCCAGTCCCAGGCAATTGGCGGAGCCCACGGCAAGCTTTGACGAGAGTCATGGCGCACGGTGCATCAAGCGCCCCAAGAAGTATACTAGTACGACCGAGCTCAGTACAATTGCCTAGTGTCCGAACATATATGTTCTGCTAGGCCGGTCGAGGTGACGACGAGCTATCGATAACCATAAAGTTGTCAGATTCGCTGTGTCTCCAACAACAATGGATCGGCCACGCTGTGATTCGGTCTGGCCGATTTGATTGGCTGGTACAGAATGATGGTCTTTTGCGATTTGCTGCTTATCCGGAAGACGCGCCTGCCCATCAAAACCAAACGGCAATCTGAGTGTTTAACCCATTTATTTAACGCGTTTTTGACAATGCGTCGTCAGACAAGGATGCAGCCACCGCGTTTTGCGAGGCCTTTCAACGGCGCACCATAAGTGTACGTGTCCTTGGTATATAATCCGCTGCCACAGTCGTCGCCACGCTTCTTTGTACAAATAAACGTATCGGACAGCAACACCCCCACGACGTTGATCGTTAAACGTCCTTGGACCCAACGCGTCAATCGACTAAAACCTTGAACTTGGACTGGCGTTTGTCTGATCCGACTCGACTGCAGACGATGCTGGACGGCGATAGCGAGACGGTGCTCTACAAGCGCGAGTCCATCGGGCGCAAGGCCGTCGGCGTCTGCGCGCTCATCGCGAGCGCAGCGACCGTGCCCTTCAAGGACGCGATCGCAGGCAAAGTCGCGGGCGGCGTCGCGTGTATGGTGCTCTACTTTTCCATCATGGACATGTCGTACAGCTACAACGTCAAGCGCTTCACGGGCGTCGCAGGCGCCTTGACGCTCTTCATTGCTGGCGCGTGGCTCGCCTTGAGCCCGGTCTTGCCCGAGTGCGAAGCGTCAACGTGCACGGCCGCGTACATTGCGATCGTTTTTCTCTTCCTCGCGGCCGTCGTGCAGGCCACGTCGCTTCGGTTTGTGAGCCCACATGCGCCGTCCGTCTCGAGCGAAGACATCTTCACACGCAAGCGGGCCGAGGAGGTCCTCCAGTTCCAGCTGCGCCTCGACGTTGTGTTTGCAGGTCTCTTTACCATCGCCGCCGTCGTCATGTCCTCCGTCGCGCCCAACGCGACAGCATTTGTCGTCGCGGCCTTTCTGCAGGCGCTGCAGACCGCCGGCACCTACGTCATCCTCCAGAGCGTTCGCCGAACCGACACGCGTATCGAGGCCACCTACATCGAGTCCGTGTAGCGGACGTGATGTGCTATGTGTAACCAAAATTGTATTGTCAGCGCCCTGTCTTCACATATAGGGACGTAGCGTTGGCTACCGTAATGTACTGGGTCGTAGACCCATTTTGGGGGTCATAGTTCGCGCTTGGGTACGCATCGGCTTGACCATGTTATACGAGTCGTCCTTGCTGACACGCTCGGTGGCAGCGCTGAAGGTGCCATTACGCCCTCGGTGAGCTATCTGCAGTTGATATCCGAGAGCCGAGCAAGCTCTGGAGCGAGCGCTCTTCTCGGTCAAACAGAAGAGAGCATGCTATTAGATTGTCTACTGTATGAAGATTTAAGATTTCTTCTTGAAGCTAAACCCGGATTTGATTTGATCCAGGAGCGACTTGCGCGCCGGCGGTGGCGGCGGAGCTTCAACACCCGGTGCCGGTGCGGACGTCATTTGCGACGGTGGCGGCATGCCGTGCGGCGTTCTCGATTTCCGCGCTTTCTTCAGAGGCGACCCGGGTGCCTTCAGCGGAGCTTCGGCGGTCTGACTCGGCGGCGGCGCCAGCGACGACTGGCTTAAATACTGGCTCGTTTGGTCGAGCACCGCTGGCGAGTGGCCTTCCGCCGTCATAAAGTTCTTGACTTCGTCATGCGAGAGCCCGAGCTTGAGGAGGTTGTTGAACTTGGCGCACATTTCAAAGTCGATGGCGCCGGGCGCGGGCAGCGGTGCCAATGACGACGCTGTTGGCGGCGGCGGTGGCGGCACGTCCGAGGTCGGCGCTTCGACGTCGTCCGTGTCGTCGTCGTCGCCCTTTTTCTTGCGCTTGGATTTCTTCTTCTTCTTTTCCTCCTCCTTCTTGGCCTCGTCGAGCGACGCCGTCAAGCGCGTCTCAATCTTGTGGGCCTTGAGGTGCTCCCGGTACTTGGGAAAGTTGCGTGCGTCCAGTCGCGTCCGGCGCGGGTCGGTCAGGTACGAGATCGGTGGCACGTCCGGTTTGCCCGACGGTACGGTGGGCAGCGCGCGGTGGGCCTTGGCCCGCGCTTCGTACTCTTCCTGGCGCTTCTTCTCCTTCTCGAGCGCCCGCGCAGCCTTCCGCTTGTGCTTCTGCAGCTTGAGGCCTTCGTGGCTCTCGGGCTCGGTCACCGCAGTGATCGACTTGACCCATAGCGTGCCTTCGATGCGGTTGCGCGCGGCTGCCGGCACCTCGCTACCTTTTTGTGTCACGATCTTGAACGAGTTTTCGTGAGCACCAAACATCGTCTCGCCGCTCCACTCCTACGTGGCAGGTCGAGAGCTGCGCGTGATGTGCAGTCATGGATCTGGCGGCGACGTACCTTGACCTTGACGACGCGCGTCTGCTTGACCGTCGTGCCGGGGCGGGCGGTGGCCGAGGCTTCGTCCGCATACAGCCGCAGCACGCCCGTGTCCGTGAAGACGCCGTAGTACTCTTGGCTACACAGATGCATGAGACCAAGAGCTGCATGGGCGAGACGCATGTACAAGGAGAGCGCGAAGCGCAGTTGCAGGAGGCCCTCGTACAGCACGTCGCCCTCGTCGTCGGCCATGCTGCGTTATGCTCTCGCGTTGGTCACACTGTGAGCGCTGGCACGTGGCAGCGTTATAACACGGATGCGTAACATACTCACATTATTTTATGTGCTCCGTGTATTACGAAATAGTATTAAAACGCTACAATCGTTTCTTGGCCACTCTATTTCCTACTGTCTCGTGAATAGTGTGCGGGTGGCGGCCACGCCCATCCTGCTTGGTGGATGGCTGTCTCGTCGTCGTGGCCGGCTGGAATCGAACGACCACATCAACATGCAGCTTCGCGACGCAGTCGATGACGATGGGCGACGAAGCAGCGCCTCCTGCAAGCTTGACTGGTCAAGAGCACTGCCCCTTCCTCCTCCGCTCATGATGCTGAAGCAGCAGATGTCGTCAGGCAGTGGGAATTGTTGAGCATATCACTTTGCGCAGTGCAATGACAAGCCTGGCCTCTCAAGACAACCGGTATCGCTTGGCCGCCGGTGCTCATCGTGGGCAGGACAGCTGGGCAGGTTGGCGCAGCACGGGCGTGCGTGCGCCGGGTTGACCCAGTTGCCACCCTCGCGACCGCGATGGTCCGCGCCCCGAGAGGTACACTGTATGAGCCAGGTGGTGGCACTGCACGTAGGGACGCCAAGGCGTCGGCGGCACCCACGGAGGAAGTCGGAGGATGCAGATACCAACTACCAACGGTTTATATATATGTGAGAGAGATTGTCGCCAGCTAGATGTTGCCTGGCTTTTGTCTGAAGTGATGCTTCATGCCGAGCGAGAAGCAGCCTCGGTCGATCATTTGGTGCGGAGGAATAAACTACGCACAGCCGATGCGTAAGATACCACCTTGGTACACGAAGCATCATCGTACCTGGTCGTCGTCCTTCTCCATGCTGTCTAAGTGGTCTAAATGCCGCCGGTACCGGTCCGCGTCGTCGTACTCGCTATCGTACGACGGCTTGCGTCCGTGGGGCAGTGGCACCATCGGCACGGTCGACTGCGTCGGCGTGGACGATGGATGCAACGGGATCTGGATCGGCCCGGACGACGGGTGCGCCATCGACATGGCCCGCAACCGCCGGGTCTCGGTCTCGGTCGGGCTGCGTCGCTCGTGGCGCGTCGTCTCGTCGCCGCCGTTGGCGATGTGCAACCGGCTCAGATACTTCATGCGCCACTTTTGCTCGTCGCCCGATAAAAACGACTTGTTGGGCATCGACTGGCTTCGCAGAAGCTGGTCGGTCTCGGTCCGCGCATCGACGACGGCGCGCGCGCCCGGGATCGCATGGCCCGCAGGTTCCTTGAGCTTCTGCAGCACTTGCTCGTCGAGGAGGTAGTCCATCATGTCGGGCTCGACGTGGTCCATGATGAGGTCGTCGTCGCCGCCGAAGAGGACGTCCGACTCGTCCATCTCAAAGTCGGTCATCGTCATGCTGCTGCCGCTGCCCGCGGTTCAACTTGTCGACGAAAATCGAAATAAACTCCAGCTGCCCTTTTGCCTTGGAATTTGTATGGAGGACCGATCGACCATATGATTGGTCGACCTGGTTGAACCTTGGCAATCCCGTTTCCGGCAGAGCGATACAAAGAGTAAGTCGGCGACTTTAACGCGTAAGACGTATTGCGTTTTATCGGCGCGCGGCGGCTTCTTGTGGCCGCAGAAGCCTCGCCAGGCGGAGCACTTCGGAACAAACACTACTTGCGCGACGCCCAGCACCAGTATCGCCCAAGCTTGACCCACGACTGCTTCTTGACAGGCGAATCAGCTTCCGACGTGCAGTCGACGGCGCTGTTCTACGAGGACAAGACCATAGATCTTGCATTTTCCAGCATTTTCGCTGGCGGCAACGATGCTATGGGATCATTTCTAGGACGAATTAAATCAGTTCATATTCGTCTACGGTGTTGCTCGCAAGGGCAGACAATACGCACTCGATGCCGGCAAGGGACACCGCATAGCAGCAATGTGACATCGCTGGCGCACGGCCACCGACCTGTGTATCCTATCCTGCGGTTTCAATGGCGCTAAACGTTTCGGTTTAACGTTTAACGTGATGACGGACTGGTTTTGCGCGCATTTTCCTACGTTTTTTCCACTCGCAGCTGCGTCGACGCAGTGGAATTTTCAGCGATCCTGAGACCGAATTAAATAAAAAATATTTTTAGAAGCGAGGCCGTGGTTCTTGTGGTCGGCCTGCGGCAGGGTGGCAGGCAGGCCGAGGTACCCGCGCAGTAGCCAGCGCCGGTGGCCGCCTAGTCTGTCGTCCGAGGTTGCGTCGACCGAGCGCGATGGGCAGGCCTACCTATGTGCTACTTCAAGGCGAAATCAGATGCAACCTCCTTCAACCACATCGTTTTGATTCTCTACTCAGGACTACCTGCAGCTACTACGCTGCTTTGTCACGATCATGGATGGCCACGCGCGAATGAGCCGGGCCGCGGTCTCGGCGAAGGCTTCAAAGTGCTCGACGCCCGGCGCATCGAGGCGGCGCGGCGCAGCGTCGGCCACCGACACGGCGCCAATGCAGACACCGTTCGAGAGGTAGATGGCTTGGCCACGGTAAAAGCGAACGTCGGCGGGGAGCGGTAATGACAGCGTCATGTCATCCAGCACGTCATCCACGATGCTACCGCCGGCGTCGATGGCGCGGGCCACAAGCGCGTCGCCGGGCGCTGGCCCGATGATGGCCACGAGTCGGACGCCGTCTCGAGTCGCGAGATGTACGCTGGCGCTACTGCACGCGATGGCCTTGACGGTAATCGCGGCCATGATCTGGAGGAGGATCGCGAGCTCTAAATCGGACGAGAGGGCGTGGAGCTGGGCGCTGGAGCAGGCGCGCCGCCGGGCGACGGGCGACGAGAGAATCTGCGCTGGCCGACGTCGATGGCGGATGGGCGACCACACCTTGATGGCATCGACGCACGTCGCGCAGACTCGCAGCGCGATCGGAGTCTGCCGTGTTGTCTCGAGAACCGAGCACGACGCGCAAACGTCATGGTCGCAGAGACGGCAAACGACCGCGGGCAGAAACACGCTAAAGCCCGTCAAGCACACGCGACAGCCGTCTTGGACAGAAGAGTCGCCGGCTTCATGCAGCGCGGGCTCGACAAGGTAGTCGGCGAGGCGAGTCCCGACAACGAGGCGAGGGATATGCTCCCAAGCATCGGCGGCGCGGAGGAGGAAGCGCTTTGCGGCGTCCTGGAGGCCGTCGACAAAGCAGTAGCCACCGAGAAAGCTGAGACGCGTTCGGTCGCCAACCGCTTGTATGTGGCACGCCATCATGAGGTTTTGCAGTCGGCGGACAAGTGGCGTGAGCACGAGCGCATCGGGATCGTCGATGGACTTGACGAGCCAGATGTAGCTACCGTCGTCGAGGCGCGCAAAGTGCTCGAGGTACAATAGTTCCTTCATCTTGGGCTTGGACTTGGTCACAAAGCGCGCTGTTCGCGCGCTCTCTTCGTACCGGAGGCGGTGCAATCCGGCCGCGAGCGTCTCGGTCGCATGCGCGTGGTGTGCTGTCGGCGTCGATATGGTCGTGGACGACGATGACGACGACGACGACGCTTCGGCGTCCGGCTCGGCACACGACGCGTCGCTCTGGGCAACCGACCGAACGTATGCTGTATCGTCGGCAAAGACTGCGTGCCACAGTGCGTCGCTTGAGGTCCACTGCGGCGTCCAAAAGAGACGCAGCACTTCGTCTATAGACGCGGGCAGCACCTGCGCGCAATGGACGTACTGCACGTGGGCCTTGCTGTCGGCCGTGATGCTGACCTTGGCGCGGCTGCCATACTGCACGCGCTTGAGCTGGACCGCGTCGTTCTCGCGCTGAATCGCTGCATGCATGTAGCGTCCGAGCTTCCGGCCGCGGCGCCCGAGCTGCGACGCCGAGAGGTCGGCAATGTTGCTGGAAAAGCCCCACGGCCCACTCGCGGTCGTTGTTGTCGCGGCTGCCGGCTTGCGGCTGGACCAGTACATCGAGTGGTGGGCGGGCTGCGTCGGCGTGCTGAGCCCGATCGGCATCCTATGCTGAACCCAAAATTGCAAAGTGGGGCGTGGAATATTATTATTTGTCGCGAGCTGATTGATCCCAAGGTATCGTAACTAAGCAGCAACGAGCAAGAGCCAGAAGAAGGGCAGAAGCGGTGCAGACAAGAAGGTCGTCTCGGGTCGTCGTCGTACGAGAGTACGAGGCACTACTATATAGACAGCGTTGACGCTGCACCAAACTAATATTACAGCCTGGATAACAGGTGCGTCGGCGTCGTGGGCATCCGTGCTGCCAACGCCGTGGGACGATCGCGCCCGTTTGTGCGACGGAGCCAAATGCGCTGCTCTGGCCATTCCGGACGTCGACGTAGGGAGAATAGTAGCCCGTAGCATGCCGTGGTTGACGATTTGGAAGTGGCAACTTCACCTTCTCACACGCCGGCGGCAGCTGCCGGCTAATAACTGTGGCATGCGGTGGTGTATCGTTGAAGATAACCGCAGGTGCGAAGACACATGGCACGCGTCTCTCTGGACGTCGGCGCGTTCGATTTCTCGACAGGCGCAGGCGTGGTGAAGCTGGTACCGCTCTCAAGAAATAAAGGTCCGGTCGAATCATCACCGTGTCCTCAAGCGTAGCCGAGACCAGTGGACGCGCCTGGCGCTGCACCGAGATTCGTCGAGGGTGCTTGTGATGCATTTCCACACGGTCGTGTCGTACGCAGTGCTATCACCTCGAGGACGACGATCCTCCATCGTCTCGCCCTCCGCCCATATACGTTGTCGTCGAAATGGAGCACACACCGAAAGCATGCACCGCACCTGTTTAGCTACCAAATCGAGAAGAAGATCCTAGACACACACACGAGACCGCGTCGCAATGTCGGCGTCCAAACAGCGACGCGGCGCGCGCTAAAAGTTGTGTCGGCTGTACATTTGGGACCCGAGACCACCGTTCGTCGTTGCTGTTGTTGCGGCGATCGGTTTGATCGGCGCGGTTGGGTTGTAGCTGGACTGGAACGGCCGCTTCCCGCCCGAGAAGAGCGACGCGTCGGGGTTGTTGGCGTCGTTGTTCTCGGTCGCCACCGCCCCGATGCCGGGTGCATACCGCGCTTGGCGCGTGTACCGACTGCCGGGCACGCTCGAGTTGTCGGGGCCGCCACTTGCCGGCGGTAGTGGCTCAAGCGACGAGCTGCCAAACATTGTGTTGGCCGCGGCCGCCATCGTATTACGCGGTGCGGCCTTGCCCGACGCCGAGTTGACACTATTACTTGTGCGGTAGTTGGCGTTGGCCGAGTAGTTTTCGCTCGGTGCGGCCGGCTGAAATGCGGGCGGGGGGTACGGGCCGTGGGTCGTGGAGGTCGGTGTCTTTTGGGCGACGCCGGGAGTGGTCGACGGCGACTTGTCCGTAGGCGTGAACGTACCCGCCAGCGATGTGGCCTGTTGCGGAGCGTTGGGGGTGGGGATGGACGGTGGGATGTTGGCGTTCACTTGGAAAAATGGATATTGCAGGGCTTGGCTCGACGTCGGTCGCTGGTTTGGGTCGTACTTGAGAAAGTCTTGCATGAGCTGAATCGCTTCCGGGCTCGCGTGCGGAATGATGGACGCAAGTGACGTCGACACGAACTGCGGGAAGCGGTAGTTCATCTGCGCGGCGAGCTTCATGCCTTCCGGCCAGCTCGCGTGCGTCGGGTTCCCGAGCACAGAGCAAATCTTGTAAATCTGGTCGCCTTCGCTCGAGCCCGGAAAGAGGGGTCGCAGCGTGAACATCTCGGCCATGATGCAGCCCATGGCCCAGGCGTCGATCGGAGAGTTGTACGTCGTCGAACGCAGTAGCACCTCGGGCGCGCGGTACCACCGCGTCGAGACGTAGTCGGTGAACGGCGGCCGTGATCGGATCTCACGCGCCAGGCCAAAATCGGCGACCTTGACGACGTCACCCTTGACGAGCATGTTTTCGGGCTTGATGTCCCGATGGAAGAAGCTGTGCTTGTGCATGAACGCCAGCCCTTGCAGCATCTGGTACCTAGACGCAGCGACCACATCAGGATTCATGCTTCCTTCCTTCTCGACGTACATGAGGTTGCGGATCTTGGACTCGGGGAAATGGCGGTTCCGCTTCTTCATCGTCTCGTACAAGTTGTTTTCCATAAACTCAAACACGAAGAAGAGCTCGTCGTTCTCGCGAATCACTTCCTTGAGCTTGATGATGTTGGGGTGGTTGAGCTTCTTGAGCGACTAGGCGTCCATGGATGAGCATCCTTGACCTTGTCGTAGGAAGTGCATGTAGTACCTTGACCTCCCGCAGCGCCATGCACTCTTCCCACGTGTAGAACTTCTTCTTCATCTTCTTGACGGCCACCTACATGCATGGACCCTCGTCGTCTTCCTCGCTCCTCATGCGCATGGTGGCGTACGACTTCGCCCGACGTCCGGTTCACGGCCTTGAGCACCGAGCCGTACGTCCCATCGCCGAGCTGCTTCGTGATCTTGTACCGGTTCATGCCCCGTCGCCGCCCTTTTGCCCACTGAGCCGACGCTTTTTTTAACCCGCCGTTTCGTTGAGAAACCGCAGGATTAGATAATGCTTTCAAACGTTATGTATAATAAAAAACACAATTCGCACATGCGTCTCGCGTCTTGCATTGAGATCGCGTCCACCTAGCATCCACCAGCTAGGCTAATACATACCTATATAACTTGGTGATCTTGCCATGGGGATACATGCGTAGTCCCTATGCAAGTCGTACAAGTATGCATGAACCGGACGCCGTAAGAGCCCTCCGCGGCTGGCGATTCGCGGTGTGCGAACCGGTTAGTCGAGACGACGATGAGGATCGAGTCGGCTTCTTCAGCGCTGCGAGCCAGGTGTACGAGCTGGCCGTTGATGGTGCAGTCGCTGGCCAGTCCATGCCACCACTCCATGTTATCCGGACAGCCTTGCCTGCGAATGCCAATCATACGGATACTCTGTGTCGGGATGTGGTCGACGACGGCAGCGCTTCTGTTCCTGGCGACGTCCGTGGCCGGCGAGACGGCCTGCCCCAATGCATCGGCGCCGACGGCGACGCTGGTTGCGGGCTCGGCCTGCGAAGGCACCGACAGCACGCTCTGCTACGTCGACCGGACGTGCACCACGGTCGCCCGTGCGGCGCTGACGGCCAAGTCGCGTGTCGCCAACGTCTCGCGCGTCGGCGACCTCTCGGCGTACAGCGGTAGCCGCCTGTACGTACCACTCTCGCTACTGCACTCAGAATTGGACATGATACACTGTCTTGCGGGCCGTAGGTTTTTCGAAGACAGTCCGCGCTTGGTGTTTGATGAGAGCTTCCGCTTCCCGCCCTACCTCTTCGTCTTGTGCGACTTGACAAGAAACGCGATAGACTCATACCATGAGTGTCTAGCGGCGTCGAGCGATGCAACATGAGCGCGCTGCCGCCGGTGCCGTCTTCGGCGCTCTTCACCGAACTGTGCGAGCTGCCGTACCGACTGTACTTCACCACCGTGGGGTAGGTACTTGCGCTTCAACCGCCTCACGCGCCTTCCGACCATGAAGCTGGCCAAACGCATGTCGGAATTGTAGGTCCTATTGTCGTCTGCTATGAAGTTCATTCCTCATCATGCATGCGTCGGTAGCTGGGCCGACAACAACTTGCTGACAGACGTGGCGCCGATCCCGATCCCGACCTTTGCGCTGTACGTCACGTGTGGTCGCATCACCTCATGGCAGCTCTAGTGTCCTGGACAACAACCGCATTGAGCAATTAGTCAACCTCACGCTCGACACACAGCGACTGTACGTACTGACGACCACGCTATTGTCATCGAACGTGCGGTGTATGCAGGTACTTCAGCGGCAACCCGCTCACAACGATCCGCAATGTGAACTTCTCCTCGAGCGTCACCCTCTTGTATGTTGAAACTTCTGCGATCCTAGAGATATGTCCTCATCGGCGTCGATGGATGTAGCAACTGCTCGGACTGCCACCTCACGACTTTTGCACTGACGCCGTCGTCGTACGAGACGCTCAACAGCCTTCCGCCAAACCAATTTCTTCTCGGGTCGACGACCCTCAACGCCTCGGCGTGCAATGCGACCGGTGGTGCTATCTCCGTGCTTCAGACGCACTTTGTGGCGTGCGTCGCGCAGCCCGCCGTCGTCATTACGGCGCCGGCCCACACCGCAAGCGTCCTGCCGTGGGTCGTTCTTGCCGTCGTCGGCGTCTTCGTCGTTCTCATTGCGTTCGTCATGCGGCTTCGCTGTCGTCGGGCGGCAGCCCACAAGGCCGACGACGACGACGAGAAGCGCCCGACGCGAACCATCACGTTTCCGTCGTTCTCGGACCGGTCGACCGACTTGGACGCTGGTGGCGACGATGATCTGCGCGCCAAGCTCAGCCAATTGCAGCTGCACCGCGTCGAAGTTGGCGAGGTTCAGGTCGGCGCGTTTGTCGCGGAAGGCGGCCATGGCGCCGTGTACCAAGGCACGTACCGCAACGACACGGTTGCGCTCAAGACGCTCTCGCCCCACAAGATTTCTGCGTCCAATGTCAAGAGCTTCCTCGACGAGATTCTTCTCCTCTCCACGTACTACGCATTCGCATTTCTTCGTTTGCGTGACATGACCTACTAGCCTCGACTGCCCGTATATCGTCCGGCTCGTCGGCGTCGCGTGGACCAAGCCCGCCGATGTGGTCTGTCTCCAAGAGTTTATGGACGGCGGCGACTTGCGCACGCGGTTGCTCGACGACGCGCCGTTCTCGTGGACCGACAAGCTGCTGTGCGTGACGCACCTTGTCGACGCGCTCGTCTACGTGCATTCGCTCAACGTACTCCATCGCGACATCAAGTCCCGCAACGTCCTCTTCCGACGCGACAAAGCGGTGTGGAAACTCGCCGACTTTGGCATTGCGCGCGAGGTTCGATATCATTATTTTCGAAATTGAACTATCGCATGGGATGCTAGGACGCCGACGGCACAATGACGTGCGGCGTCGGCACGAGTCGGTGGACCGCACCCGAGGTGCTGCAGGGACAGTACTACTCGTCGGCTGCCGACGTGTACTCGTTCGGTACATCAACCCGGTATGCTGAACGCGATGACAATATATATCTGCTAGGCGTCGTGCTCTCGGAGCTCGACACGCATGCGCTGCCGTACGCAGAGGTGCTCGGGCCCAACGGACAGCCACTCTCTGAGGCGACGCTCGTGCACCGCGTGTGCGCTGGCGAGTTGGCGCCGACGTTTCGAGCGAGCTGCCCGGTGTGGGTGCGCTCCTTGGCGACCGCCTGCCTCTGCGCCGATCCCGCGCTGCGCCCGACAGCGCTTGTGGTAGCGTCGCGCCTCCTGCGCCTCAAGCTTACGGATACTGGCGAAGCCATCACCGACGTCAACGCGCACGCGTAGTGTCAACCTTCCTACCCAGACACGCTTCGATTGCACATGACAATATTGTATCATACTTTCTAAAACCTCCACAAAAATCTACTTCAAAATCTCCTATGGCCAATGTACTGTACACGTACGGGGCAAGACAGAACGCCACCCAATTACTGTAGTCCACCCATTTATCGACTACTAGTATGCAGTGCCACCATTCAAGTATCGCATTCGAATAACGCAAAAAAATGTTGGAAAATATGGAAAAAAAGCAACGTCGCTACACAAAATACATGCGGCGACGGAGGTTCGAGTGCACTTCCAAGAGACGTCCCGTGGCTTCGCTGTAGACGCTGCTGGCGTTCGACGCCGTGTCGCTGCCGCCATCCAGCTGGAAAAAGCGCGCACGGAACGCCACAAGGTGCGAGTAGTAGGCGGCGGGGACAATCGAGACCGACCGCGTGCAGCGCACAAACGTGTAGCACATGCGAAACGTGAGCAGCTGGAGCTCGTCGGCCGTAAAGCCAATCTCGTCCAAGAGCACGTGGTAGTGGGCCGGGCGGCTCGTGCCTTGGAGGCCCGCGTGGCTCATCAGGTAGAAGTCGTGCTCGGTCGGGTGGCACACGCCCGTGTCAATGACCGTGCCCGCCTTCACGTTGCCGCTGCGGTCCGCGTCGGCCGCGTTGCCCGCAAAGAACCGCGTGTGGTGTCGCTTCTGCACAACCACAAACGTAATCGCGGGGGCATAGCCCGGCTCGAGCGCGGCGCAGGCCCGGCGGAGCGCCGTCACCTCGTAATCGAGCACCATCTGAAACTGGCCTTCGCTCACGCCGTCGCGGTAAAACAGAATGCGAGCCGGCTTTATGCGCGCTTCCGCGTAAAACGCCTTGAGCATGTCGGTCGCGAGCTCCTCGAGGTCCTGAATCTGCTCGACGCGGTGGCCTTGCTCCTTCATGACCGACGCGTACTTGACCGCGTGGCGGTCGACCGACGCCACGACCGCTGCAATCGACGGGCGCGTCTTGTCCAGCGGGCTCGGGTGCGTCACGTCGGCGCCAAACACAATCGTTGGCGCTTGCGACAGCTTGGGCAGCGGGTCCTTGCACACCGTGTTGACGCCGCCGAGCTTGGCGTTGACCTTCAAGAGCACGTTGCCAATGTACTGCGAGTTCTTCTTGGGAATGTGCTTGGCCAGCATGCACTGCGACGGGATGCCAAACGTCACGTCCGACGCGCGCTTGAGACCGCCATAGAGGCCTGCGTCTTGCATCGGGCTGATGCAAAAGATGATCTGCGGCGCCAGCTTGTACTGCTTGGTCGCGGCTTGGACAGCCTCGTAAAAGAGGTCTTCGATCGGCTCGTCGCGGCCATTGCGCACGAGGACCGGCGGCATCGCAATCGAGCCCATGCCCAGCTCCTTCGCTTGCTTGAAAAACTGAGCAAAGAAATCGTGCACGTCGTCAGCTGGCATGCGGCGCGGTTCGCAGAGGCTAATGATCGCGCACGACTTGAACGTCGACGGCGACTGAAACGTCTTGGCGCGCATGTTCCACTGGCCGCTGCTTGGGCGCTCAAACGTGTTCTTGCCGTACGCCATGTCGGGCTCGGGCAGCTGGCGCGCCTCGACCGAGAGCATGGTCGGGCTCACGCGCATGCCAAAGGCTTCGAGGTTGTTGTCAGCTTCGAAATGGGCTCCCTGCACTTGGGCTTCAATGCGGCGGCGGCGGTCCTCGGGCGCCGTGCACGTAAACTTGATCATGTTGGCGACCTGGTTCTCGTTCACCTTGCGCACAAAGCGCTGGCCTTCCATCGTCACGCACACCTCCATCGGCATGTAGAGCTGCTTCGCCGGGTTGCCAATGTGGAGGCACGGCAGCTCCGGGTGGCGCAGCGACACGCCATACTGCTTGCGAAAGTAGGCCGCGACCGACGTCATCTTGCCGTCGTGGTCCTTGAACTTGGAGTCGGTCGCCGACTTGGGCGAGAGGCCATTCACGCGCGCCGTGCGCTTCTGCGTACCGCGGTGCGTCACTTGGATCTTGACGCCGCGCCACATCTTGTTGGCGAGCGAGTGCTGCGCCTTGCCCCACGTCTTCGGCAGAGCCGGCCAGTTGCACGTCGAGAGCATAAAGTTGATCGCAGGCATCGCTTCGACAAACGCCGTCGCCGCCATGTCAATGTTCAGCGTAAGCTGCGACTGCGTCGGGCGCAGCGACTGGTGGTACCCGTACCACATCATGGCGCCTTCGCCGAGCGCCTGCGCGTTCACGTTGCTGAAAAAGTTGCGACCGACCGCCGTGTAGCGCAGCGAGGCAGAGTAGCGCGCGGCCACGTCCAGCGCCTGGAGCGCGTCGTACGGCGTATAATTGAGCTGCCCCGCAAAGAGCGCTGCAATCTGGCTCGTCCGGACCGCGACCGCGTCCGTCGCCTTGACGACCACGTCAAATGTCTGCGTGCGCTCGTCGTCCGTAAACGTCACCTTGAACGTCTGCTTCTCAAACGGCAGCGGCGTTGACGCGTAGAGGTTGCGAATCGAGTCGGTCACGACCGCGACGCCCGGGACTTCCGTCTTCAACAGCGTCACCAAGTGCATGAGGACCTTGGCGCAGAGATGCTTGGGCGGGAGCTCCTTCAACGGCGCCTTGCCTTCCATGGAAAACGACGTGTCGTAGTGGTACACGTCGCCGTGGGTCGGGTTCAAGGTGACACGAAAGTGGTTCGCCCACACAACCGTCTTCTTGCCGACCGTGCCAAAGCCGGGACGGACCGGGTACGACGTGTTCGTTACCGAGCGCAGCAGCACCGACTTGGCCGGCGCTGGCGGCGGGGCCAAGCTGAGCGCCGACATGCTCTGGGACAGACCACGGCCACCGTCGCGGCCGCCACCACGCCCACCATCGCGGCCACCGCCACGACCGCCGTCTCGACCACCGCGTCCGCCACCGCCACGTCCACCGTCTCGGCCACCGCGCCCGCTGCTCTCGAAGCGTCCGCCGCCACGTCCGCCACCTCGAGCGCTCATTGACGAGAAGATGCTCAAACACGAAATGGTCAGTTGGAACCAGGCCGCCCGGTATGATCGGTTGCCATTGGCTGCTTTTCCGATATTTTAGCCAATGACAGACCACAGATAGACATGTGCACGCGGATTGGCCAATGTCGCTTCCATTTTAAACAACAGCCAATCAAACGCCACGGAGAAGGCCCAGCTCGAATCTTCGATCTTGCCGGATAGAACGCGACAGGCAACGCTCTGTCAACTCGCTTACATGCAACTAGCGAGCTCTACTGTTGAAGAAAAGACACTATAGACCAGTATACAATGTGTACTAGAAGCACCGATGGGTCCACCTTATTAGGGTGCGTGTTGTCGCTATTCAATGTGAAATTTTCTTGTTTTAGCACTTTTAACTTTCGTTCACCAACTTTCATTTCCCAACTTCCGTTCATCAACTTTTATTCAACACCTCGAGGTCACGGACTTGAGGTCCTAGTAGACCGTTGGTCACGTCCTCCATCAAGTACTACATAGCTGCCATAGCTGCTGCCATCCCAATCGAAGCCGCGTCTGTCAAGATGCATATGGCACTTGGTCAACCAACCACCTTTTGTCTAGTCCGTAGATTCCTGCATCACTCGCAGGAGGTGCGGAGTTCGAGGCCCGCTGCCCTTTCTTCTCTGCCCACGAGCGTGTCATCCGAACCAACAAGTCGGCTCTTGACTGCGTCCAACTGCCTACGCAACAGGGCCGCCAAGAAATGGACCCCTTGCGGCGATTGCTATCGAGACTCTGAGCCAAGCGCGTTGCATTTGTGGTTTAAGAACATGGAGATCCGTAGGCGTGACTACATGTGCGATGGTACCCTGGGTAGGACCTAGGGTACAAGGCCAAGGACATTTCCAGCTCCATAGCCCATAGCTTTATATGCTGCTCGATTCACGTCAGCTGATCCCATGCTGCCGACGCCAGAGATGGCGGGAGGTCGACATCGGCGAGATGTTGTTCTCTGCATCGAAATCTTCCGATTGCAATGTCGCGATGCCATTGGCTGGAATAGCATGTATTTTGACCAATCATGTGCGTCCACTTGGGTGCGGTCATGGGATTGTGGCGCTACACTTGGTGTTTGTATTGCCAAGCACGGAAATAGCTGCTGTCAGTTTTGGACGATGGCGACGCGGGACTTGACGCGGACGTACGTGGCGCTGCGCAAGGACGTCAAGGCCAAGGTGGCCCGGCGCCGGCAGATGGTCTCGCCGGACGTCCACATGGAGGGCAACTCGCTCATCCGCAACGACATGCGCTCGGACCTCGACGTGGAGATGGCCAAGACAGCGGGCCCGACGCCGGCGTGGGTCGACGCCGTCACGGACGTCAACATTCACATCGCGCGCGTCAAGCTGCTCAGTACGCCTTATATTGGCATTGACACCTGGGCTTATGCATGTACGTAGTGGAGAAGCTCGGCAAGATGCACACAAAACGGCTCATGGTGCGCTTTGACGGCTCCGAGTCGGACCACGAGCGCGAGATTGAGAGCATTACGGGCGAAATCACGGGCGAGTTCCGCAACGCCGAGCGCATCCTCAAGGCCAAGATGAATGGAAAGGACGGCGTGTCCGAGGCCGACGCCAAGGCCCGACAAAACGTCCAGCGGTACAATCGCCATGTTGCAGCGTAGGATGTAATCTCGTGTCTAGCGCGCTGGCGACGCAGCTACAGTCGCTCTCGGCCGACTTTCGAAAGAGCCAGAAAGAGTACTTGGACCGTGTCAAGAACCAGCGCCAAGGCCCGGCCGAGTTCGAGTTTCTCTCGGAGACCAAAAAGACCAAGACATCGGGCCTCGACGTAAGACCTGTGCGCCATAAGCTCCAAGATGTCATATGGCTTCATGGCGTAGGGTGGGTTCATGCAGGCGCAGATGGCCGAGGTCGAGCTCGCCGAGGACCTGATCAACGAACGCGACCGCGAAGTGCAGCAAATTGCAACGTCGATCCAGGAGCTCGCAACGATCTTCAAGGAGCTCGCAGTCCTCGTGATCGACCAAGGCACGATCCTCGACCGCATCGACTACAACATGGAGCAAGTCGTCGAGCGCACACAGGCCGGCATCGTCGAGCTTGAGAAGG